TTCCCTGTCTGCTTTCGTTTTGATGCGGAAGACCCATTTCCCGGTTAGAATGGTCTTGTTCCTTGCCACGCTTGCAGGAACGACCTTCCAGGTGTTGCGTTCCTCCAATGCCTTTAGTTCTCTGTCCATGGCTTCACGCCATTTCTCCCTGTGTTCCCCCTCCAGAGCCTGCTGAACCGTCGCAGGCTCCTTAGGAAGTGCGTTGCCGTGAACTGCGGTGACGAGGCCTAGAATCTGCAGTCCAGTATGTGAGTATCGGGGGAGTGTTGGATCCTCGGGATAAGCTGCTTCGTCTCCCGCTTCTGGGTCGGGTATGAAATTCGGCCCTATCCGTTCTGCTTCGTTTGCGCATGCTGTTCTGCAGAGTCCTGTTCATTCTTTCTGCGACACCTTGCTGCTGATGGGCGTAGGGAAGGGAGAGGAGTTGCTTGATTCCCCTTTCCGCCAGGTACTGCTTGAAGCGCTGAGAGGTGTATTCTCCTCCTCCGTCTGACTGGAAGCTTTTCAGCTGTGTTCCTGATTCTCTCTCTGCTACCGGTAGCCAAGCGGCGAATGCTGCGAGTGCCATGTCGCGGCTGGGTAGGTTTCGGTGCCAGACGTATCGAGTAGCGGCATCGATGAAGGTTATCGTGTAGTTGTAAGTAACTTGTCCCAGTTCTCGGTTGAAGAGGATATCGCTGTACACCTTCTCGAGTGGTGCGTACGCGGGTGCGCTCGGGTTGTGTTGAGAAGGAAACGGTCGATGTGGTAAGTCTGCTTCGGGGCAGATGAGGCAAGTTCCTCGCGCCCGTTGAAGTTCTCTGCCGTCGGGTAGTAGTAGCGAATCCTTGTCTAGGACTCCTGATCGTATTGTGTTATTTAACACTGTGTTGCTTGGATGTCCTGTGCGTTTGTGCCAGATGTCTTCAGGAGCGCGATGTCCGGGTGAGCGTTGATACGCGTCGGAATTGGAGTAGAAGCTGGCGACGAAGTTAGCGCTTCTGTGGACTTCTCGTTGAGTCGGGTTCAGCTGCTGTGCGGGTGTTGGTGGTGCTTGGTCGACGAGGACTGGTGTCGTTGGTCCTTCTGCTGCCGATGATGTTTCTGCTGCTGCCGATGTTGTTTCTGCTGCTGCCGATATTTTCTCTGCTGCTGCAGATGTTGTTTCTGCTGCTGCCGATGTTGTCTCTGCTGCTGCCGATGTTGTCTCTGCTGCTGCCGATGTTGTCTCTGCTGCTGCCGTTTGTTGAATTGTTGCTAACGCGCGTGTTCGTTCTGCTTCAGGGATGGTGTGCGAGTACCAGAAGCCTCCCGGGCTGAAGTCGGGATCGAGATCCGGTGGATGTGTCCAATCGGCGAAGTTGATGATGGCATCGCTGTCTGCAATGCCCAGGTCTGGGACGAAGTCGAGAACGAAGACGTTGTTCTTCAACACCGCCCTTCCGATGTAGAGGCCGCCCTTCCCGTGGTACACCTTGAACTCCTGGGTGGTGCTGTCGGCTTCCAAGTGGATACCTTTCGCCATCAGCTGGCTGACACTCAGTAAGTTATAGCCGAGTCCTTCCGCGATAAGTACCTTTGACATGTGTAATATAATGTTTGTCTCTCGCGACTGAAGTTGTACTACTCCTTGTCGTCGTGTGCGCAGATTTTGGTTGTTGGCGACCGTGATGACTACTTCTCGCTGAAGTCGATGTTCGCGTTGAGCGAAGCGTCCTGAGGAGCACATATGTTGTCTGCAGCAACTGTCCAAGAACCTAGTATCTTGTCCGGACGGTTCACTTTGAGCGATGGCAGCGTACGTCGGGTTCGGCTGGAGTGACTTGCGGCGAGGCGTGCTGTTGTCGAGTTCTTCTTCCGGTGAGTAGTGAGGTGGTGACTCGGTTATGCAGGAGTCTGTTATCTTTACCATGCAATTGACGATGTTTCTTGCTCCTGGCGCAGGCGCAGGTTGTCCTGTTGGAGTCGTTGAAGCTTGGATTGAGGTCGTCGGATTTGCTTGCGTTGAGGCGACTTGGGAGCTTGAAGGCCGAAGTTGTCGCTGTGGTGTCGTCGATTGCTAACGAGACGGGCAGTGCGTACGAGGATGACCCGAGGTCTTGCAGATGTGGCAGAACGGAGGTACTGTCTTCACTTGTTGCTGTTGCCGATTGTTGTTGTTGTATCGTCGCTGAGTGTGAAACGCAAACTCCGGTACTAATGTTTTCTTCTTGTGTCTTTCTTCTTGCAGGTCCATGTCCTGCTGCTCGGCATGAATTTCGGCGCAGAGTGCCGCTTCGGAGATTCTCCCGTGTGCTCGTAGTATGGCGCGAGTGGAGCGCCAGTGGGGGCCAAGCCCGCCGATGACTACCGTGACGAAGGCGTCTTCTGAAATTGACCCTCCGCATCGAAGAAGCTTGTCGCGCAGTTCACGACAGCAACTGATATAAGCCATGCCCTTTTCGCCTGGTTTCATTTCAATTGTTGTCAGCTGCGCCATTAACCGGCTTTGATTTACACTGTCTGTTGCTTGATACAGGTTCTTCAGGTGGTTGTACGCGAGCTCCGCGGAGTTGCCGTAGCCTCGGTAAGTTCTGATGTTCTGCTGCTGGGTTGGGGTAATGTTCCTCAATAGTATCGTGTACGCCATCATTGATTGATAGGTGTACTGCTGCTTCTCATACTGCGTGCCGTTTGTTGGATATGGCAGGGACCCGTCGAAGAAGCCGAGAATCTGTGCTCCTTCCATCATCAGCTCGAACTCGAATGACCAGGTGAAGAAGTCTTTTCCGTCGAAAGGCTTTGTCGTTTGAAGTTTTAGAACATGCGCGAATTGCGATTGGACTTGTAATGCGTCCAAAGCTCTTTCTTGTCCCGGTGCAGATTGCGGTTGCGGCATGAAGCTGACGGAGCCACGCTGGGGCTCGTACGGAGCGAAGGTGGGCTGTTGTTGTTGTTGTTGTTGAATCCCGCGTGCGTAGGATGAGCCGTCGAGACTCATGGGTGTCACGTTGTTGTTGTTGCTGTTGTTTGACTGCGCAGGTACTCCTTGCTGATGCTGCTCGTAGGACATGAAGGAGAAAAATTTCTCCATCATGCTTGGATCGAAGCCGGCGGGTGTTTCCGTAGACCCAGCTGCTGGTCTCGTAGTTGTCCCTTCCTCTGTCTGTAGGCCAGAGACAGGAGGTGGAGTAGGGGTAGTGCCTGGAGAACCGTTGGAGGAGCTCCTCTCCTTCCTAGTAGACATGTCTTCTTGTATTGAGTGTTAAAAAGGAAATAACTTCAAACTCTAACTTGCTCTCATACCATGTTGGGCTGAGGTGCCCTAGGATCTTTGTAGAGTTAAAGTCTGAGTAGGATGATGTAATAGCGGAAGCGTTGAATAAGAGGTCCTTGAACCACCTTGCGCTGGTATGTGAGGGCAAAGTAAGTTAATTAAAACAAGCAAATATAAAGCTTTTTATAAGAGTACAAGGAATACGAATATATATAATTAAACTGTTTTGCTGTTGCGATTCGATACAGTGCGACTCGAGCAACTGCTCAATGTCGAGTCAGTTGTGTGTCCTTGCTGTCGCGCTGTATTTGTCAAGTCAAAGGTCGCTGACCTTTGACCTTCGTGTAACCTCCAGCGGTTACCCTAACCTCCGAGGGTTGACTCGCGATGCTTCGATTTGAGCTGATTCGCTTTGTGTCCTGAGTTTCGACACGACAGAGGCGCTTAAGGCTTATTGTTCCCAACACTGATTACACCCCACTTTGGCTATGGGGGTGTGTCAGAATATTATGCTCTAGCTTGTAGTGGGGTGCTCCATAGCGAGTACAACCATTCTAGGGTTTGCTATTTGTATCCCCATTCTTGCTAGTTCAACCCCCTTCTCTCTTCTTAAACTTTCACACGTCATACCCCGAATATACCCCCATGGGGGGCACTAATAAAACGTGTTTTTTTTAGGGGGTGGGCTTATAATATAGTAATTTTATAAGCGCCGGGGCTTATATAATGACATATATGAAATCTAGTTGTTTTCACTTCAAAATGTTCATCTTGTCATTGCGATTTCAATCAAGTCAAGATCATAGTGGGTGTGAAGAAGAATCTCGCGTAAGTTTGCAAACTGCCAACACACACTGTCAGAATGAGTCATTTCGCCCCATGACAGCTCATTCTGACTGGACGCGCAGTCAGTTGAGTCGCGCGAGGGTAGGGCAGTGAGTCGCACGAGGGTGAAGGGTCGAAATTTTATCAAGTGAGGATGCAAATAGTGTGTTTCACTACAGAGATTCCAGTAACTTTATAAAAACTAATACAAATGGTGGCTCTTATAATACGTAAGCCTTCAGGGGGTGCGCTTATAATCGAGCACCGGATATAAGCGCCACACGCCAATTAAAAGCGCCAGGCGCTTATCCGCTGGTGGCGCTTATATCCGGGGTATGACGGTATGTACCCCAACCCACATCAATGAACAAACACCTTCATTCTTGACAGATCTTATATCCGTAACGGAAAACAACGCTCTTGTACAAACTTCACGCAAGCGGCGCGTCAGATTCGTGTCAGAATTGGAATCTGACACCAATAACGTGTCAGAATTCGGATTTGACACAGACAGCGTGTCCGAATCCAAATTTGTGCTTGTAAAAGCTGACGCGCAATAGCGTTTACTGTATGCAGAAAAGGGGGGTCTTACATTAATTAAGGGCAAAGGGGGGGTCCTCACAGAACTTGCCAAAATAAGAGTCCTAGTGCCGTTTGAGAGTCCCGGGGGACCTTCTTACCGCCGGGTCCAACAGCCGGAATAATACGGGTACAGTGAAACGTCATGATGCATGTGCAATTGATGTAGTGCTGCTGAAGTATTTTCATCCTGTGGGAGTGTATGTTTGCATTGTTGGGGGATGTGGAAAGAAGCCTTAATCTTCCCAGCCCACCGTGGTTCCTTGTTGGTCCCTGTGACCTCATCCTCTTGAAGGGGTGCTTGCTTACACTGTGAGGCTTTTAAGAACCACGACGAAGAATATAAATGGAATGAAATGGATTACAGCGGGAAGATCCCCCCGGCATGTGATTTGAGGGCAGTCATGGCTGAACGCATGAGGATATCGTCTGACGCTAAATACTCCTCAAATATCGACACACATCGCTGCCGCCGCTTCTCCGCTGCTTGCTGCATGTGGGGTTAAGAGCAGGAGTGGGATGAGAAGGCCGGGAGCTATGAGAGATTGGTGTGATGCATGGCACGCTGCGATGCATGGCATGGTGTGATGCATGGCATGGTGTGATGCATGGCATGCTGTGATGCATGGCATGGTGTGATGCATGGCATGGTGTGATGCATGGCATGCTGCGATGCATGGCATGGTGTGATGTGTGGCATGCTGTGATGCATGGCATGGTGTGATGCATGGCATGGTGTGATGCATGGCATGGTGTGATGCATGGCATGGTGTGATGCATGGCATGCTGTGATGCATGGCATGGTGTGATGCATGGCATGGTGTGATGCATGGCATGCCATGGGCACAAAACGCACTACTGCTTCCCACATCACACGATGCCCGCACACACCACACCATACATGCACATGCAAGGAACACATGAAGAAACTGCCAAGCACAGCGGGGCAAGGCATGCAGTATGACCACAGCGGGGCAAGGCATGCAGTATGAGCACAGCGGGGCAAGGCATGCAGTATGAGCACAGCGGGGCAAGGCATGCAGTATGACCACAGCGGGGCAAGGCATGCAGTATGGCCAAAGCGGGGCAAGGCATGCAGTATGAGCACAGCGGGGCAAGGCATGCAGTATGAGCACAGCGGGGCAAGGCATGCAGTATGGCCAAAGCGGGGCAAGGCATGCAGTATGAGCACAGCGGGGCAAGGCATGCAGTATGACCACAGCGGGGCAAGGCATGCAGTATGAGCACAGCGGGGCAAAGGCATGCAGTATGACCACAGCGGGGCAAGGCATGCAGTATGAGCACAGCGGGGCAAGGCATGCAGTATGACCACAGCGGGGCAAGGCATGCAGTATGGCCAAAGCGGGGCAAGGCATGCAGTATGGCCAAAGCGGGGCAAGGCATGCAGTATGAGCACAGCGGGGCAAGGCATGCAGTATGACCACAGCGGGGCAAGGCATGCAGTATAAGCTGGGCTGATACAGCTGTTGGCTCATCGCTTGTCCCCCATGGGTCAAATCTCGTAGCGGCACAGGCCATGTCAATCCCGTGGAGAGGGTGCAGGTCGAGTGGGGTGGCAAGGTAGGGGGTACCAGGAAGAGGGCAGGGTGGGGCGTTGCAGGGCAGGGGGGGAGGTACCGGGGTAATGGCGCGCAGGGTGGGTTCGATGCGCGAGAGAAGGTGGGTGGGGAAGAGCAGCAGGCAGCGGTGCCACGGGATGATGTCGTCAAACGGCAGCTTCCAGTTGTCCGCCACCACCACTGGTATCGCGCCAGCTGTCAGCGCCTGGTTCGTGTGGCAGGGGCCAGGCCGGGGGAGTGGGGAGGGGGAGTAGGAGGGGGGAAGGGAGTGGGGGGGAAGGAGGCGGGTGGGGGCAGGCGGATGGGAGGTCCAGTGAATGGACTGCTGCTTGCCCGGCCCTTTTATTCACCGAAAGACACACCTCATCACATCACTGCTTCATGGAACACAAGTGCCCCTGCGAGCAACAAAGCCAGCTGTACGAGGACCGTTGGACCCACCAACCAGGAAGCGGTACGTGGAGGTCTGTGAGTGGTACCCGCCCACCCACCCGCCCTCCCCCCTCTCCTTCCCCACGACATACCCTATGGAGCAGTACATGGAGGCGTGTGGAGCTCAACCCCTCACCGCCCACCCACCCACCCATCCCCTCCCACCCCTCCTCCACTTTTGACGCGCCTCAAAACTCAAACCTGTTCGACTTCGCATTTTGCTCATGCCCGCACCCACACACCCACCCACACCCCTGCGCCCCTCTCCCCCTCCAAGGCTCGGACCTCAATGAAGCGGTAGGTGGAGGCCTGGCGGCCGGCGGGGACGAGGGCGAAGGAGGAGTTCATGAGGGCGGGGTAGGAGAAGGAGCGGAATAGGGCTGCGTCCGCTGTGCACTCGGGCAGCAGCGACGGGTCCTCCTCGATTATCCTCCGGTTCGTCGACCCTCTGATTCAATGACGGGTGGGGGGTGAGTGGAGGAGTAGACGTTTGAGGCGTTTTATATGTCACTCAAAAAGCACTTGGGTGGCAGCCGTGACGGGTCCTCCTCGATTACCCGCCGGTTCGTGGACCCTCTGCTGGGGTGAGCGTGGAGAGAGGAGGGAGGAGCTTTGGAACGAGTCGAGAGCGCTGAAGCATGTGGGGTGAGGTGGAGCGGGATAGCTGTGTGGCTGGCGACGGGCACGAGGTGAGATATTGTGAGACCAGGTTGGGTGATGAGCTCTTGTCTGCATGTGTGTGTGAGTGAACCACAGCGCCCATCCATGCGTGCACTGACCCGCACTGGGTGACAACGATGATGTCCTTGCCATTGTGCAGCGCCTTGAACGCCTGGGAGCTGCGGAAGCTGCCGTGCATGGAGCCCAGGTAGCGCGTGCCCATGAACGTCAGCAGGTACCGCCGCGCACCCACTGGCACCGACCGCAGCCCCGCCGCGTGGCGCTTCCAGGTGGGCGGCAGCGGCAGGGAGACGTCGAAGGCTGCGCGGTGCACGGTGAGGTGCGCGGCTGTGAGCATGAGCGCCGCCTTGCCCACACTCCACGCCGGTGGCCCACTCCAGTTGTCTGCGAAGCTGGCTTGCCGTGCAGGGGGAGGAAGGAGGGCGTGGGGGGAAGCGGTTTGAGGGAGGAGATGGGCAGGCATGAGGCGTACGTACTGGGTGGTATTGGGGTGAATGGAAGCATGGTGAGACAGGGGTACGCAGGGTGCATGGAGATGCTCCTCCTCCTCACATGGTGTTGCGTTTGGCTCTTAAGGGCAGGAATCCAAGGACATGAAGAATACTTGACTCGCCTTCATTGAGAAATAAAATATACCGACTCTTTCCACATGGCTCACACTTTATTCAGCATCGCTGCAACTGCATAAGTCACCTTATAAGGACATGACACCCTATAGCCACATGTCACCTTGAGCACATATCGCCTTATAAGAACATGCCACCTGATAAGCACATTGTCACCTCACCTGATGAGCACGTGTCACCTCACCTGATAAGCACATGTTATCCTATAAGCAGGTCACCTTATAAGCACATGGTTATGGCCGTCCTCCCCCCAGAAGGGCAGGTCTTTGAAGTGGCGGGGGTGCCCCGCGGACATGAAGACAAAGAAGAAGCACGCCTTGCTGGGGTCGTCCGTGTGCCACCTGCTGCCCGCCCACCCGCGCCCCACCAGGTGTGGTGGTGGGTGGGGGTGTGGGATGGTGGTGGTGGTGGTGAGGATAGTAAAGAAGGAAGATGGGAGTAAGGGATTGAGCGCGGGATGATGGACAGAAATAGTGATGGACAGAAACAGTGACTGGAAGGATCCAATGAGCACATAACACAATCTCATCAACAAGTGGCGGCATGACATGAGCACCTGGTGGTGTTGAATCGGGCAAAGTACTTGGGCCCGGGCCAGTAGGAGTACACGAGGGGCTCGCGGGCGGGCGGTGAGGGGCAGCGCGAGAAATTAAAGCAGGCGTCCATGGTGCACAGGGGGAACACGGGCGGTAGGTGGAACGGCCGCTCCGAGTACCATAGGTTGGTCTGCAAGAGGGGGGAGAGAAGGAATGTGGGGGAGAAGAAGCTGAAGCAGGCGTCCATGGTGCAGAGGGAGAAGACGGGGGGCAGGTCGCAGGTCAAATGGACGTTCCAAGTACCATAGGTTCGTCTGAATGGGAAAGGGGGGAGAGAGGGGAAAACGGTGGGGGGAGAGGTTGAGGCGTCCATGGTGCAAGAGACGGAACACTGGTGGCAAGTGGAACAGGCGGCTTGAATAACATTGGCTCGTCTGAACGGGGGAAGTGGGGAGAAAGAGAAAGTTGGGATAAAAAAGGCAAGGGGAGGAAAGATGGGGCGAGAGGGAGGGGCGGTCTGGGGGAGAAATGGGGGGAGCAAGAGGGCAAGAGGGCAAGAGGGCAAGAGGGCGTCCATGGAATGGAGCAAGGGAGAAAGACGGGTGGCAGGTGGAATGGACGGTGTGAGTACCATAGACTCGTTTGGGAGGGGGTGGGAGTGGAGGGGGGTAAGGTGGGACACGGGGGAAGCAAGAGAACAAGAGGGTGGAAATTGTGAGGGCGAATGCGAGTGGGGAGGGCACGAGGCAGACGGGGCACGAGGCAGATGGGGCACGAGGCAGATGGGCGCGGGGGCTTGCCTTGACAACGACGGTGGGGTTGGCGGAGGAGCAGTTAGCAGTGGGCTCGAGCGCCTCGTGCGGCAGCTCCACACTCCACCCCGCCTGCCCGTGGGGTGCGGTTGGGAGCGGCAGGGTGCAGCTTGTGAATGCGGAAGTGGAACGTGAGAAGAGGGAAATTGAGGGGAAATGCGAGAGTCAGGGCGGGGAGAAGGCAGGAGCGGTGGGGTAAATGCAATGCAGAGGGGGTGGGGAGGGGAGGGAAGGGGGGGCCTTCCAGGAGGCAGGAGGGTAACAAGGAGGGGAGAGATGACCAACTTGCGGAATGCTCACTGGGAGGAGCGGGGGAAATGTGGGAGGGAGGGGGGAGGGGAACACGAGAGGGACCTGGCGGTTGGGCAGGCGGATGCAGCCGAGCAGCAGCAGCGAGGTGGCGGCGACGGCCAGCAGCAGCAGAGCGACGGCCATCTGCGCCGCCGCCATGGCGCCGCACGCCCACCGCTCGCCCGCCCACCGCCACCGCGCACGCGACACTGCCAGCGGCCGGGCGCCGGGGCTGGCCGCCTTGGCGGGCGGCATGGCGGCGTTGGCGGGGCGCCAGAGCCCCCCCGGGCGCTTAGCGGAGATGGCGACCCACGGCGACCCGTGCGCGTGGTGCATGCCTGGCCTGGCGCTCCTCATTGACCCCCCATGCTGCCCACGGGAGAGGGGGTCATATGGGACAGCGGAAAACACGGGAGAGTGAGTGAGGCAGAGACACGGAAAGGGTAGAGTTAGGAGTAATTGAGAGATGGGAAAGGCTAAAGAAGGGAGTAAGGCAGAGAGGGGACAGTGTACAGTTCAGAGTAATGCAGGAGAAAAGGTAGGGAAATGGGTAAGGCATAGAGTGAAAAGGGAAGAGATGAGAGTTAAGGAGCGAGGGAGAGATGGAAGGGAGAGGGGAGGAAAAGAGTGGGGAGGGGGAAGAAGGGCGTGAGGCAGAGACGGAAGTACACAGAGGTGCAAGGGAGACATGTGAAAGGGGTACGTTTTGAGAGGGGGGGAAGGAGGGGATAGAAGGTGCTCTCCGAGGATGAGCACAGATGTGTTCAAGGGGGGAGGGAGGGCGCGGGAGAGATGAATAGGAAGTGGCACTGTGCGGGGGCCGGAGTTGCGAGGTGGCGGGGTAGAGAGACCCAACACCGGAGGCTTATTCCCTCCCCTCCCCCCTCTCGCTGCTTCCTTCACCCCCCCCCCCTCCCTCCCTCGCTGCTTATTCCCTCCCCCCCCCCCCTCTCTCGCTGCGTATTCCCCCCTCCCCCCCCCCCCTCGTCTCGCTGCTAATTCCCCCCTCTCCCCCCCACTGTCTCGCTGCGTATTCCCCCCCCTCTCCCCCCCACCGTCTCGCTGCGTATTCCCCCCCCTCTCCCCCCCACCGTCTCGCTGCGTATTCCCCCCCCTCTCCCCCCCACCGTCTCGCTGCGTATTCCCCCCCCTCTCCCCCCCACCGTCTCGCTGCGTATTCCCCCCCCTCTCCCCCCCACCGTCTCGCTGCGTATTTCCCCCCCCTCTCCCCCCCACCGTCTCGCTGCGTATCCCCCCCCTCTCCCCCCCACCGTCTCGCTGCGTATTCCCCCCCCTCTCCCCCCCACCGTCTCGCTGCGTATTCCCGTAACCCTTCTCGCTGCTAATCCCGCCTGCCCCCCCGTGCCCCATCTGCAATTTCCGCCCTGCATGCTCGCTGCTCATTCCGCGCCGCCGGCCTTCTCGCTGGTGTTTCCCCCGCTCCTTCTCGCTACCTCCCCCTCGCATATCGCTGCTCACCCTCTCGCGCTTTCTCGCTCGCATCCCCCACGCACCTCTGCGTTATCGCTGCTCTTTCGGGTCCGCGCCTCTCGCGTAATCGCTGCAGCCTCCAGTCCAGGCCACGCCCGTCGAATGCGGCTCACACCGGACCGCCTCTCGCGCGAAATCGCGAATCAACCACGTCCGTGCCTCGCGGCTCCTCGGTGCTTTCTCGCGTTACCCGTTACGCAGTTTCCGCTACTACAACCTGTCCACCTAGCGCGCACAGGATGCTCAATAACCGCCCGACAGAATCTACAACCACACTGGCTTAGGTTTTAGCTAGCGCTATGGGTGGGAGGGTCGAGCAAGTGTAAATGGTCGTGCGTGGGCAAGACACAAGGTCTGTTTTAGCGACTATGTTCTCAGCTGACTAGGTCGTACCTTGGGTCAGTCTGGTCCAGTATTGATGGTCTGTCGAGGGAAGTTGGGCTCTCATCTCACGGCAGTGCGCAAAGTCAATCAATAAATAATGAGGGTATATTCCGCTCTGGACATGTCCCAATCGTACATGTCCCAATTGATTCCACCGCTCCGAACCGAACTAAACCAGAGACACGAAATTTTGACAATGTTTGAATCTAGGGTGTAATTCGGTGTAATAAGATGCAGTGCGGTGGAATCGATTGGGACATGTACGATTGGGACATGTCCAGAGCGGAATGTACCCTGAGAATGTGATTAAAGGGTAGATTGTAGATACAATGAATGTTACGGGGTACTTTACTGTTCAAGGGTATTCTACCCTAAACAGTCCCCCAACCCAATCCCAACCATATCTCCATCCAATCCAGTCTAGCTTTCTTGCATTCTACTTTCTAGTCCCACTTTTGGAGTAGGTGCAACTGTACCGCACCCGTCATTATCGAAGCAGCGCTAGCAGTAATATCAGATTAGCCCGTATCAAGGGCAGTAAGGTCAACAGTCGCAAGAGTCAACTGTCGCGACTGTTGACCATCTGTGTCAAACTTATATGACATAGTCTGTGTAGGCTGTAGTGGGGTAGTCAATATAGGGTACAACACTTCAAGGTTTTCTTACTTGTACCCACCTGCTTGCTAATTCTATCATTCCTCGTTTCTATTTTCACATGGTTTCTTAACAGGTTCCCTAGTGGGAACGATATTTTTAGGGCCCACCACGAAATTTCCTACCCTGTCCGAAGCGCGCTGTCGCGCCTGTCTCACCTGCGCCGTCGCGTGCCCTGACCTAGCCGCCCGTCGCGGCCCTGCCCTACGCGTCGTCGCGTGCCTGCCCTCCATGCAGCTGCCGTCGCGCGCCTGCCCTGCCCTGCTGCCCGTCGCGGCCCTACCCTACCCGCTATCGCGGCCCTGCCCTGCCGCCCCACGTCGCGGCCTGCCTCAGCCGCCCGTTGCGGCCCTGCCCTGCCGCCCCATGTCGCGGCCCCTGACCTGCAGCCGCCGTCGCGGCCCTGCCGTCTCCGCCGTCGCGCCTGCTGCCGCCGTCGCGGACCCGCCATAGCGATCTTGCCCTGCAGTCATCATCGCGCCTGCAGCACCCGTCGCGGCCCTGCCCTGCCGCCGCTCTGCTCCTGGTGCTACTGCTGTTTTTGCTGCTACTACTGCCACTGCTGCTACTGCCGCCATGGCTAGCCCTACGGTTCTTACGTTCAATGCTAAGGGACGTGCAGTTGACTTCAATGTCTGGGTAGATGATCTGTAGCTGTTTCTTCAGTGCGAGTCTCGCTTTTTTATCTCACGTCTGGCGCCTCTGCTGCACCTGCTGCCGATGCTGACAACACAGTTCGCTCGCAGTGGACTACTCGTGACGCTGTTGCTCACCTTGCTGTTTGTAGTCACCTGCCTTTTGCTGAGTGCGCCACTTTGGCCAGTACAAGACTACTAAGTCTTTGTATGACACTATCGTAGCGCGCTACTCCTCCCCTGCCACTGCTACCCTCAGCCGCCTCATGCTACCGTACCTGTTCCCTGACCTGGCCGCCTTTGCCACAGTCGCTGACCTCATTACTCACCTCCGCACTAGTGACGCCCACTACCGCGCTGCGCTCCCCTCCAAGTTCTGCGCCAAGACCCCCCCCCCCCAATGTACATCACCCTCTTCTACCTAGTCACCTGTCTCCCTTACTCCCTTTCCTCAGTCAGGGACCACTTTCTCTCCTATGCCCCACCGAGCTCACCGTCGACCTGCTAAAAGAGCGCCTCACTACAGCTGAGAAGAGTATAGTTGCTGTAGGAGCTTCTCGCGGCGACCCTCGCGCCCCGTTCTTTGAGGGGTGTTCCCTCGTTCCCCTTCTGCCCTCTATTGCTTCTGCTGCTGCTGTCAACCTTCTTGGCACCGAGGAGGTCGGGGTTGCGTCTGCTCCTAGTGGGAGGCGCCACAGCAGCAAGGGCAAGGGGGGCAAGGGTGGTGGAGGGGACGGCGGGGGCGGCGGTCGTGGCGGTGGAGGAGGCGGAGGGGGTGGGGGTGGAGGCCAGGGTGGTGGCGGGAGTGGGGGCGTCGGTGGCGGCGGTGGAGGTGGTGGAGGTAGCGACAGTGGTGGTGGAAGCAGTGGGAGCGGCGGTGGAGACAGCAGCGGCGGCGGTGGAGGTGGCGGCGGCGGTGGTGCTGGTCGGGGTGGAGCTCCGCAGCGTGGAGGCTTGGGCAGTAGCCAGCGCCAGCAGCAGCCGCGTTCCCGCGAGACCCCGTCGCCCCAGCAGCTTCGTGAGTGGTACGCTGGGTGTGGGAGGTCTGGCGGTGCTGGTCCCTGCACTTACGTTTTCCGCACCAGCGGGCGCCGTGGGGAGACGTGCGGGAGGTCAGACATGTCGCAGCGCTGTTTCGGTCGCCTATCTAACGCCTGGCGCGCACACTTTCTTGACGTTGCTGAGCTCCCTAGCTGGGCTGATCTGCTTAGGTAGAATGTTGATATATTTGCTCTTGATTATGATGCTATCCTTGCTGCCATGTATGCTGTGACTATTAGTGCTGAGGGTGACTGTTACCTGTGTGTGCCGCCCGACCCAGGTATAGAGTCTAGTGCTGTAGGTGCTGGTGAGGTTGCTGCTCTAGGTACTAGTGAGTCTGCTGCTCCAGGTGCTGGTGAGTCTGCTCTCAATGGTACTGCGCCTGCTGAGGCCTTGCACACCTTCACACTTGACTCAAGTGCTTACCCCTCTTTCTTTCGTGACAGCACCACCCTCACGCCGCTCAGTCGGCCAGTTGCAGTCTCCCTGGCGGACCCCTCTGGGGGCCCCGTCCTTGCGCACTCCTCCACGGTCCTGCCGTGTCCTGCTGTCCCGTCTGGCTCACTGTCGGGTCTCCACCTCCCCTCGTTCTCTACGAACTTGGTGAGTGGAGCTGCCCTTGAGGATGAGTGGGTTGACCAGTTCACTCCCGGAGGTCAGCGTGTGACCTACTGTACGTGCTCCCGGACTGGTCGGCACCTGGCCATGTTCACCCGAGCACCTGGCTCGAGTCTGTACACAGTGACTACTGTGTCCCCTCAGGTAGCTGCGTCTGCATCTGTGTTTGCGCCAGGTCAGCTAGCGGCCCCCTGCTCTTGTCGCGCTTTGTCGCACTAGACCGTCCTCTGGCACCACCGTCTTGGTCATTCCTCGGTGCAGCGCCTTCGTGGCATGCACCGCCGTATCCTTGTCTCTGGTCTTCCCAGGGTTCTCCCTCCCCTCCCTCTCTCGCCTGCTCCTCCCTATCTTCCTTGTGTCGAGGGGCGGCAGCGCGCCGCTCCTCACTCCTCCTCGTTTCCCCCGGCGACTGCTCCCCTGCAGATCCTACACATGGACGTGTGGGGCCCAGCTTGCGTCCGTGGACAAGACCGCGAGCGGTACTTTTTGCTGGTTGTTGATGACTGCACACGTTACACCATGGTCTTCCCCTTGCGCACCTAGGGTGAGGTCCCTGATGTTTTGATCCCTTGGATCCGCGCTTCCCGTCTCCAGCTCCGCGAGCAGTTCGGGACGGACTTCCTGCGTCTGCACTCTGACAGAGGTGGTGAGATTGCCTCTGACTTCCTGCGGGACTTTTGTCGTGGGAAGGGCATTCGCCAGACGTTCACGCTCCCGGCCTCACTTCAGTAGAATGGGATGGCTGAGCGCCACATTGGATTAGTCATGGAGGTCGCTCGTACCTCTATGGTCCATGCGGCGACCCCCCATTTTCTGTGGCCGTTTGCGGTCCGATACGTTGCGCATCAGCTCAACCTCTGGCCCTGTGTCTCCTTGCCGGAGACCTCGCCCACTCTGCGTTGGACGGGGGAGGTTGGCGATGCGTCAGTGTTTCGGGTCTGGGGTTCTCGTGCCTTTGTCCGCGATACTACCGCGGACAAGCTCTCCGCCCGTGCTATTCCTTGCGTCTTCCTTGGCTTTGTCCCTGACGCGCCTGGCTGGCACTTTTACCACCCCACCTCGCGTCGTGTCCTGCCCTCTCAGGACGTCACGTTTGACGATTCGGTTCCCTTTTACCGTCTCTTCCCCTACCGCACTGACTCTCTCCACCCCCCGCCGCTCTTCCTTGCACCAGGTCCTCCTCCGGTAGATCCCCTCCCCCCTCTGTGTCCTGCTCCCTCAAGTGTGTCCCAGGTAGACGCTGTCGAGCCTGTCAAGGTAGCGGTTGACTCTGCTGCTGCTACTGGGGGTGGTGCTTCTGGGGGTGCTGAGCCTGAGCGTGCAGAGCCTGGGGGTGCTGAGCCTGGGGTTGCTGTGTCTGAGGGTGCGGAGCATGGGGGTGCTGAGCCTGAGCGTGCGGAGCCTGGGGGTGCTGAGCCTGAGTGTGTGGAGTCTGGGGGTGCTGAGCCTCGAGTTGCTGAGTCTGAGGGTGCGGAGCTTGGGGGTGCTGAGCCTGGGGGTGCTGAGCTTGGATGTGCTGAGCGTGCAGATGCTGAGACTGGGGGTGCT